CTCATTCGGAGGTCACACATCGTCACGCGTGATGTCTCTCGTCCGCACGTCGCTTGGGCACGTTCGCGGCGAGGACATTCGCGTAATCGTAGCTCGTTGAACGAGGGCGAGGCCCTACACCCTCGCCCCGTTAACGCGCACCGTCGAGTAACCTACACTCACGGTGCCTTTGGACACGCGCCGTCTCGGCGTATCACCATTCGGGTGTCGCCGAACGGTAGGACCGCATTACCGCCGTCTTGGCGTATCACCACGTCCCTCCCGCTATCACGGAGGGCTCGTCGGGTGTCGCCAAACGGCCGAACCTCACTCGGAGGTCATATCCGTCGAGTCACACACACTCACGGTGTCATTGGATCCCGCCGTCTTGGCGTATTGCCATGGTTCTCCCGCAACCACGGAGGGCTCGTCGGGGGTCGCCAAACGGCCGGACCTCATTCGGAGGTCCTGCACGAGCTCGCTCGCTTTGAGCTCAAGTTGAACCTTCCCACAGTTCGGAAACCCCTCCGACCGAGGAGGAGAAAATTGTATCGTTCGTGGCGCTCGATCCGCCTGACGCGGTGCATCCAGTGCTAGAAAAATTCTATTCAATCGAGAAAATTAGTCGAATTATAGCATACATTCTTAGGTTTGTAAATCACTTCCGTGCAAAATCTGCTCCTACGACTTTGGCCATAGATCAGTTCGAACTGCATTCCGCGCTCCTACTAGTTGTAAGGAGTGTACAGGCGGATGCTTTCCGCGATGAGGTCGATCGTCTTCAAAGCGGGAGAAGGCTCCCCAAGCCACTTCTCAAGCTCGCTCCTTTCCTTGATCCGGTGGGTATTCTCAGGGTGGGCGGCCTGCTTGTAAACTCCGGATTGACATTCGAGAACAAGCACCCTGCCTTACTGCCCTGCAAACATAGGCTCACGGATCTCGTTATCGAACACGTGCACCGCACGAACATGCACCCTGGTCGGCGCACGCTGCAATACCTGCTCACGCAACATTATTGGGTCCTCGGGGTGCATCGCGCTATACAACGCGTGCTCTCGAGATGTCATCAATGTTTCCGCGTAAAAACACACACTTCTCAGCCCCTCATGGCGGAACTACCGGCCGACGGGGTCCGACGGGCCAAGCCATTTTCGATCAGCGGAGTTGATTTCGCGGGACCGTTCAACATAGCTCCGACCCTGCCGACCTCGAAGTCCTATCGCCGGGTCACTTCCTCACGGTGGAACCGCTCGTCTCCGTTCCCACTCAAGACGTGACTCCGTTACCGATGAATCGTCTGAGTCGGTGGCAACTCGTCCAACGAATACGCCAGGACTTCTGGAGGCGCTGGCATCAGGAGTAGCTCCATACGCTGCAACAGCGTCCCAAATAGTGGACCTCCGTCAACCCGCTCGGTGTCGGGGCGTTAGTCCTCCTCAAGGACGCCAACATGCCTCCTCGGCGTTGGAGGCGAGGACGAATAAAGGCGCTGCATCCGGGCAGCGACGGCGTCCCGCGTGTCGCCACGGTGCGGGTGGCGGACGGCACGATCACGCGTCCCCTAGTGAAGCTGTGCCCCCTACCGATGGGCCCTGCTCCACAGGCGACCGATTCAAATTGAAAGTAAAATACAACTCGTTGTATTTTGGTGGGCGGTATGTTTGGCGCTTACCAAACTGTAGATAGATGCATGTATCATACTTAATCGTTTAGTCTCGTTACTCGTTGTACATAGTATTCTTGCGTACCTAGTCTTAAGTATTTCGGTGACTCGCGCGAAACGTCGGCGGATCGCGATCAACGCGGAATCGATAATTGCGCGACTCACCAATCGGTGCTGCCCTCGCTCACCCCACGAGGGCACCCGCCTGAAGAACAAGTACTCGCTCGCGACACTGTTCCAGCGCCGCGAGCTCTCGGCACTCATCGTTACGCCGGCTCATCGTTACGACGTCTCATCGTTACGCCGGCTCATCGTTACGCCGGCTCATCGTTACGACGTCTCATCGTTACGCCAGCTCATCGTTACGACGTCTCGGAGCACGGAGAGATTATCGGAGCAGAGAGACTTGTGCTAATATTCGGAGTCGCGAGATCATCCGCTCGCTCCCGGATAGTGCGATCGCCTACTTTCTCGGCCTGTCTGTGTGCTACCTTTACCTGCTTCCTCCTGCTTGCTTGCTGCCTGCCTTAACTTACTGCTGCCTGCCTTGCTTTCGCCTTGCTTGCTGCCCTGCCTGCGTTGCTGCACGAGCCCGATCGCGACCGAGACGAAGCCTCCAGGAGTCGACGGCACAACGAACGGTGAGTCGCATTTGCTTAACTTAACTTTCGCTTTGGGGAGACTTTACACATCTCCCCTGGTCCTTCGAGCTTCGCTTTATCGCAAATCCGGGTACGGCTCTACCGCCCCCCGAGCAATTACTTTAATGATCATATTATCTTACGCGTTATTAACATTCCATACAGGCAAAGCAAATAGATACTATGATATACAGGATACCTTTAAACAATTGTTTCATTTTCTAACATTTTTCAGATATATTGTAATTTAATCGTATAATCGTCATATTTTTTTACACAGGAATACTAACGCAAAATTATTCGGACATTGTCACTACTAAAATTAAAAAATCAGATGAAGGGTTAGGTAATGTACATATTTTTAATTCACATATCTCTCATTTACTACCGACCATCATTTCATAATGATACATTTGCAACGAAATAAATACGCCAATACTTAAAACGTATATCTGTAATCTAAACACAAGATTTTATATTCTGGAAACGATACAAGTGTCTTAAAATACTTTTTACTTGTTTCTAACCAACATAAAATATCGATACTATCCGAATAGTATAAAAGCTACATTTGGATGGAACGATAACAATTTAGACACCCTACCTCTATAATTATGTTAAAATCGTCAGATATACTGTAATATAATCGTCATATTTTTTTTTT